AAATCACCCGGATTACCATTTTCCTTTTCCTCTTTTAAGTTAGAAAATATCAACTGTGGAAAGCACTTGCTGTTTCAAGACTAATGGCTTGTTTGTCAAATATTCATCTATATGCACATGCATATATACAGATGTGCTTATCTGTCGATCTATCAGATAGATATACATTTATCTATCTTCTATCCTGTAGATGTACGTTAATTTCTGTGTGTCTGCATGTCTGTATAGATGAATATTCACTGGCTTGGGCCTCGCACAATTTAAACAAATCGGTCATAAGAATATGAAAAACAACAACAGGAACTAAGTATTCTTTCATTATCTAATATATCTGAATATCAGTGCTTTTATGTAAATATTTGTATATAAATATACATATACATAAATATATACATACATATACATGAGTATATACATATATATACACACATACATACATACATACATACATACATACATACATAAATATACATAAATATACACATGCACATGCACAGGCAAACACATATGCCTCCCCCCCACACACACACACACACACCAATTTACATATATAAACATACAAATGTACGTATTTATATATTTATGTATACAGATCAGATATACTAACAAAAATATGTCAAAGTTCTGTTGGTTTGAGCATAATTAGAGTTTCTTGAAAATGAAGAATAAATATGGTGACAAAAATTTCATACTGATAGCTCTTCAAAATGCATGGAATGACTTTCATCACAGTGGAAGCTGTATCGAAGAAACGTGACGTAAGGCTGTAATCTATCCACAAACTGAATTTATATCTCTTACATATTCATGCGCCTCTTGGGCTACTGTTTGTAAGAAAGAGTATTTTTTCATAATGACGAGATAAAGAGGACGAATTGCTATAAACTGTTTCAATCGACTTTGTTGCAAAAAGGAAAGGAGTATAGTTTGTACCTTCGATTTATTTATTTTATTTTATTGTGACTGCTAAAGATTATAAAGAGCATAATGACAATGTTTACAAATACCAGTAGATTATGATTTTTTTTAGATTTTTATTTGAGGATTATAGTAGTATCAGAAAGTACATTTACTGTAGTTTATACTCCAGGGAAATGTTATTAACTGATAAAGGTGTAGAGCTTTTCAGTCAGCATAAAAAACATAGTAATAACAGAGTTTACCGTAAGTTGGAGACAAATGTAGAATTGACCAAGTCCCTCCCCTGATCCCTTCCCAGTAGAGATTATATCGAAAAGGGTGCACGAGGTTGTAGCCCTGCAATGTGATAATGCCTAAAGTTGATATTGTAGTCGAGAGAGGAGAATTCTTGTAAATTAGAGAACGATTGTGATTATATGGTCTTTAATTCAGCGATTAGGTATAATGGAAGACCGCTTGCTATGTATTTTGCCGATATAGTTGTAATTTTCTTTCTTTTTTTCTACTGTTTTTTTTATTTTTTTAATGTGATTTTTCCATGTTGCTTGACATAGCATTTCTTTGTCCTTGTGAACAATGCCAATTAGTGAAGTCAATGTGTCCAGAGCTAATGTTGATACATACCTTGTCAGTTAAAAGCTGTGTATGGATGTGTGTTTCTAGGTTAAGGTGATGCAGTAGACTTTTTGTAAAAAGATGTAATTCCCTTTTATTTTTTAAAACAGCAGTAATGTAAGAAGAAAAAAAAAATGTCACTCTGTCCTTTATAGCCATGTTCTTTGGCTAGGTGTCAGTTTGTGTACAGGGGAATGGTGATGCGTAAGCATGCGTATTAGCTGGAAATTGGTAAACAGTGTTTGGCATACATGGTGTTATTTACATATGTATATTCTGTGTTTATGTAAACATTTATGCAAATTTGAATATTTATTTACACGAATACGTATATATATATATTATATAGATATTATATGTATATTGTATATGTATATATTACTTATATGTATATACATATTGTATATGTGTATATATATGTGTTGTATGTATGTATATATATATATATATATATATATATATATATATATATATATATATATATATATATTATATATATATATATATATATATATATATATGTATGTATATGTATATATATATATATATATATATATATATATATATATATATATATATATATATATATATATATATATATATATATATATATATATATATTATATATATATATATATATATTGTATATATATATATATATATATATATATATATATATTATATATATATATATATATATATATATACCTGTTTATATATATATATGTATATGTATATTGTATATTATATATATATATATATA